GTCCAAGATGAAGTGGAGGTTGAATGTAGAGGTGGGATCTGCCACTAAGAAGATAAACAAGTCGTCCGCAAAGGCCAAATGTGTTACCATCGAAGACTTACACCGAGGGTGTAAACGGAGGAAGCCCTCAGTGGTTGCCTCATCCAAAAGGTCTGAAAGGACTTGGAGAATCAACAAAAACAAGTAGGGGGAGGTGGGATCCCATTGTCAAAGGCTACGAGAAATTCCAAAATGACCCTCCCGGGAACCATTAACAACCACAGAAAAGCTGGTTGATGAAAAACACGTGTAGAACCATTCCACGACATGGGTGGGGAAGCCTGCACCCTGCATGACTCTGAGAAGGAACGTCCAGTCCACATAATCATATGCCTTCCTCAAATCGATCTTTAGTTTCATGCGGGGATTCCCTTCATTCAAATGGTAACCATGTAGGATCTCATGGGCCAAGAGTATGTTGTAAGTAATACTCCGCCCTTTGATGAAGGCAGGTTGATTCCAGGAGATGATATTGGGACAACCAATTGGAGCCAATTAGTCAAGATTTTTGCTATAAACTGATATAGGACAAAAAATCATTAAACGTTAGCGATGAATCAGACTTAGGTATTAGGGAGATCAAGGTAGAAGTCACTTCCCTTAGGACTGCCTCGGTCACATCATTTCCCACAATTGGCCAAGCTTTCTGGAGGAAGGTAGCATTAAACCCATCCAGCCCTGGGTTTTTGTCACCGCCCATGACCATAACTGCATAATAGACCTCCTCCCTAAAGACTGGGGCACCCAAAGCACAGCGGTGATCCATTGGGAGACAAAAGCGAGGTCTAAGGAAGCTTGAGAAATATCGTTGAGTCTCCAACTGGTTAAGCAAACTTTCGAAGTATGAGACAGTTGTTGTTCTAATGCCAAGTTCATCGGAACAAGTTATGTTGGAGCCTTCGAGCTGGATGTAGGAAATACCATTCCAGTGTCTTCTAGCACAAACTGATCGAAAGATGAAGGAGGCATTCGAGCCACCTTCAGTCAACCACTTTACTCTCGACTATTGGCGAAGGAGGGATTCTTCCATCTTCGCAGTTTGAAGGACTTTCTCTCTCGCTTCCTCTTCCTCTCAAGCAAGGGTTTGGTTTACAAGGTCAAAACTTAAAGCGCATTGGATTACATCCAGATTGTTATGAGCATGTAACGCATGGTCTGAAAGCCTGCCAAATACTTGCCTACTCCATACCTTGAGGGAAGCCTTCACCTGCTTAAGCTTAGTCACCACCACAACCATTCTTGTACCTCTGATAGGAGCACTCCAGGCCTCACAACCACCTGAAGAAAATCTTGGTGATTAGTCAAAAAATTGCAAAATTTGAATGGAGATTTTTAATGTGTTTGATTTACATTAAGGTGCACCACTATGGGCGAATGATAAAAAATCCCTGGTAAGGCAAATTGAGCCATGGAACCAATAAAGTCCCTAATACAGTTAGAGTTCACTAGGGCTCTGTCGAGCTTGGTCTCCACCCGATGGGCGCCCCTACTACGGTTGGACCAGGTAAACCTCACTCCTTATCACCAAGTCAGTAAGACCAACAAATCTCACACAGTCAAAGAATTCTGAGACCATGTTTTGGTGTAGCCCCGCTCCCCCCGTCTGTCGTCCACAAAAAGGCCTGAGTTGAAGTCCCATAGAACCAGCCGGGGGAGACTAATACTAGCTGTAAAACTAGTCAGGTCTTGCCATAGAGAAACTCTTTCACTTGCCAAGTTTATGGCATAGACGAAGGACACTAAGAAGCAACTAGGGGAGGACCCCTGAAGCTTTACCGAGCAATTAATGACTTGATGCGGTCTACTGATGATTGAGGGCTTTGAAACAGCACTGTCCCACCCACAACACCCAGATTATTCCACTAGGATCATTGTTATAATTCACCACTAGGTTCCAGCCTCGTTCAACCAAACCTGCGATTAGGTTTGCATTGACCTCTCTCACTTGTTTCTACTACACCAGTTATGAATAATTTGTGGTTTCTGGTAAATTGATGCACCTCATGCTGCTTATCCGGGGAATTTAATCCCCTTATATTCCAATAGCCAATTGACATCAAGCAAGGTTAGGTAGTGGGCTACCCTTTCTCCTGCCTCCTCTCCTATTCCTACCTCTTAAGCTCCCTCCGGTTCCTTCCCATGAGTTTAACTCACTATGGGGCGGTGTGTTTTCATGATACCCTCCCACCCCTTCCTCTTGGAATTGCTCGCTCAAGTCATCTAGAATGGCAAAACGGTTGGAGTTAGATGGAGAAAGCGGGGTACAACGGAGAGGGCTACTACAGAGTCTTAAGGAAACGTCCTCATCCTTTGAGTTCTTCTCTGTCGTAGGGGTGTTGACCTCCACCCGAGGAGAAACCACCGGTTGGATGGGAAACTCCTCTTCCCTAACCTCTCCTTCCTCACTGCTGGAACTACTAACTTCCTCAGGAACAACGATCTTTGCCTTTCCCTTATTCCATACCACCACCTTCCAACCCTCCCTCAGCACCCTTGCTTGTTTCCCCACCCGTTTGGGGATCCCTATAGAGCTGCTCCTTGTGTTCCCTCCACATTTCTCCAGACTGTACCCAAAGGGGGAGCATGTTCAACAAACCAACGGTTTCCATTCATATTCGACCCTCTGGCTCCATGTCTGGCCCGACTCATCTTCAATAACAATAGCATCCGGGAGGCCATCAGCCACCTGGATGTCAATGCACACTCTGGCAAGGTAGAGGCGCCATTTCTCCGTTGTCATCTACTCAAAACAGATTGGTTTACCTAGGACACTGGTCACTTGACTTAATTTGTTCCCGGACCAGAGGTGGAGCTTCAACCTAGGGAACTTCACCCATAGAGGTATGGATTTAAGTTCCAGCTTATCCATGGAGACGTCGGGGGTCTATGCTCGCAGCACCATTGGTGCTTTGTTCACAATCCAGGAGCCCTATTCAATAGCACTCTGACTCCCGAATTGATCCTGGAATTTAAAGACAAAGTACCCCGAGTCTAGGGCAAAAAAATTGACATGTCCAAACTGCCTCTACCTATTCTTAACGAATCACTTCATTGTGAAGAACGAGGGTTTTGGCCCCAGGACAAAGCCAACTAAGGCATTTGACCAACGATCCACTTCTGTTTGCATGTCTGAGGCCTGAATCTTTGCAACCTTTCCCCCTTCCCTGGAGTCCGGGGCAAAGTAGGAGAGAGACTGGTCCTGGGATCTGTTCGCATTGGCTTTAAAGAGCTTAATATAGGGAGACTGCTGCTTATCCTTGCCTAAGTTATCAGTCTCAACCTCCTTCTGCATAGCATCCTACTTACCACTCGACTCTCCCTTCGAGGTACCACTGGGGTTGGGAACCCATGACCGAACATGGGCCAAGGGAGGCTCCGCGTTCTCACCACTTAAGGTCACAACCTAAGCATCAAGCCAAGCTTTAGTGTTCTCTAGAAGCTCCCGACCTTCTGTTGTGCCCGGTCCAAAGTCCCTGCCCTTCCTGAACGCATCGCTTCTCATGAGGTTTTCCAAGAGTCTTTCAGCGAGCAAGCCAACCCGAGCTCTTGGAGAGTGATCCCCAAAGTTACTCGAGCCACCTTCTACCACCGACAGTGTTAGCCATAACTCCTTTGCAAAACCCTAACGCTAACACTTGCTGTTTCTTGTCGCTGACACTTGTAAACACATTCAGTGAACACTCAAAGATCCATGCCATTAGCCTCAATTGATTTGGATCTATTTCATAAAAGATAAGACAAGCATTTGCAAACAAAATAAATGTATTACCCTATCAGTAGGGGTGTCAATTGGACTGGATTTGGTCCAATCCAATGTGAATCCATTACAAATGGACCAGGTCCAATCCAATAATAAATATTTTGGATCATTTTGGACTAGTCCAATTCAATGTCTGGACCGTATAATCCAATATAAATTCATTATGGACGGATCAGGTCCAATCCGATCCAATAAATACTTTGGACCATTAATTCTGAGTTGGTCCAATTCAATATGTCTTATTAGTTCGTCCAATCCATCCAAATTGATTTTGGTTTGGATGGGGTCCAATCCAAAACTAGTCCATTAACACTCTTACCTACCAGATCTACCCATTTAAGGTCTAACAATAAAGTAAACTCATATGTGGTGGTTTTGATCAATGCTTTGAAAATTGACCTGGAACTGAAACCATTTTGGCCACCAGTTTTTGGGTCGGCAGTTCGACCATCCGATTCAAATGAACTGCCTGTTTTGATGAAAAAAAGGCAAAAAACCATTGAATGGGTTGATGGTTTGACCGTCTGAGTCAAAAAGTCATTGACCAATTCAACGGTTTTTGGTTAGGTACCAGGTTTGGGGTAAAACAGAACCAGTTGCCTAGACGGTTCGACTATTTGGATCAATTGCAGTTCGAAAACATTGCTTTTGATGAAAAGAAAATTTTCTTATTGGGGCTGGTATGTGTAAAGCTGAAGGTAAGACGCCCTATTAGTAATTAAGTAGCCCTCGCTATGGTGATTAGTGGAAATATTGTGTTGCTAGAGGCTAGAGCTGCCAATGGTTCAAGTCTGGTTCGGGACAGGGCGTACCGGTCCCAATCCGATTAATAATTGATTGTATATGATCGACCCATCAAGAAATTAGGTCTGACCACATTAGACCCGATTATACGTGAGATGTTTAATAACTAATATAATAACAACTTAAAGCAATTGTTTATATGTTGATAAAACCTGAAGCAAAAGTATGCTAGGTTTATTGGCAAAAGTATGCTAGGTTTATTGGCAAAAGTATGCTAGGTTTATTGGAGTTGGAGAAGCGAAAAGGAGTCCCGAGAAGGATCCACAAAAAAGAAAAGGAAAAGGCCCAGCCCCGTTGACAAGGGTCCATTAGGACATATAGATGGATTGAGCATCAAATCTTGTTGGGCCAAAGAAAAAGCCCATTCCTTTACCTAATGGCTAATGCCACTGGCCAATGCCATGTTCACGTTTCGGGAATGGGAAGTTGGGACTCGGCAATCTCCGAGTCCAAATCCAAATCGACCATGGTTTCGCAGTCTCCCTCGCTCTCCGTTGTCTGACGAGTTCTCTCTTTCTCTATGCTGATCGCTTCTATTCGCAGGCGAGCCAGAAAGCTTGGATTTTCTTCTGTGCACCTATCTATCTATCTCTTTGAATCTTCCTCGGCCCTAACTATCAGAATCCATGGCGTGCGTTTATATTCCCGTCCAGAACTCCGAAGAGGAGGTGAGGGTTGCTCTCGACCAGCTCCCGAGGGACGCCTCCGACATTCTCGATATTCTCAAGGCCGAACAAGCTCCTCTTGACCTCTGGCTCATTATTGCGGTTTGTTTCACATTCTTATTCTTATCCTTCTTCAAAATTTAATTTCTCTCTCCTCTATAGGTATTTTGATGCCCGAATAGCTTATTTGTGAATGTCGCCTCGCATTTAAGCCAAGATGCAACTTTTGTTTTCTTTTTTTTTTCCTGTTCTTAGATAGGTTGGTCTTTACTTATGGCAAGGTTTTGCGCGTTCTGGACATGACTGGAGTTGTTCTTGAGTACAGGAGGATCAACAGAGTTCGTAGAATTTAAGAATGGGTGGATTTGGTTGAGTTTGCTATTACTCCATATTGAATAGTAGTTTGATTTCGAAGGCTATTAGCTTTTATGATTGACACTGTTAGATTCTAAAAAGTGGTGAGAAACTGAGAACCATACGAAGTATTAACTAATTCTTGTTCAGTTGTAGGTCTTGTGAGGCAATACCACTTTGGTTCACTGGTACATAAAGGCAGTCATGGAAATTCGATCTTGTGATTCCATATAACCAGATGAATTCTTTCTTCTGTTAGAGTTCTTGAGTGATTATATTACATAGTGACTAAATAAGGTGCTCTGTTACTAGGGACATCTTCATTTAAACAAGATCCATAGCTTTGAAATTTCCTAGATATGGTTCTTGCCCCCTCCCTTCCACTATTGCTTGGAACCGACAAGCATGAGAACATGGGTTTTAGTTTGAGGACAGCCACATGGTGCAACAAATGCTGGGGGTTAGGTCCATATTCAGTCTACCTACCCCAAGACATCTGATAACAAGGATAATGGTCTAACCTATCAACGATTATGTGCTCATAGTACAACCTTGATATGGACGGATTCCTTCATCACCATCTAACTCTTATCACCATATATTTTTTGATCAATCTCTAATCACCTGAAGATTGATATGCAGTTCCCATCTATCAAGGGCTATCTGCTATGCCAAAAATAAACTGTGAAACCTGTTATTACTGTCTCAATTCTCAGATCAGATCCTTTTTGGCCTTCCCTATTGTTCTTTTAGGCTATGATTTAATGGTTGTGCTCAATGGTGTTCATTATATGATGCCAAGTCATTCTTATTTTGTATATAATTTTTGGTTTTCTTTAATTCCATTGGATGCTTCCTTATCTAATTCTATTCATTGTGGTATTTTGGTACAAATTAAGGGGTAAGGTCACATATTTTGTATATTAATCCTTAAGATCCCTTGGACAAAGGAAGATCAATTAAAATACCATGTGAATGGTCAGAAAATAGTTTGGATTTTTTGCCTAGAGATATCCTTCAGTCTATGCATTTGATTCTTCTGTGGATTCCTAGAGTTGATCTCAATAGTGGATTGATTAGCTTAGTCAGGGCCACTAGGGATTTCATGTATAGTGAAAGCACTTGCCTGTGTAATCCTTGTTGTTCTGCTTAGTGTTGCTTCCTGATATACATATTCTCGTGTACTCTTTTTCTTTTAATGAATATAGCTATCTTCTCTAAAAAATAAGAGGAGATGGTAAAAGTATTTACATACTTATATCAATCTGAATTCTGAAATTAAGAGTTGACTCTTTCACCCCTTTTGTTGACCATGGACTGTCTTTTGATTAACTGTTTTTATTTGTCAAAGAACAGAGCATAGTGAAGTAAGCAACTAGCTTTTAGCAGCCAGATACCTTTAGCTGCAGGTTTTGTGGTCGAACTTCAAAGATATTACAGCATACTCTGGTCTTCCAAAATGGAAGAGGCTCAGTAAGAAGTCTACAAAGAAGAAGAACCAGAAAAAATAGAATAAAAAACAAGAAGAGGAAACCGAACTGTAAATGTATAAGCTAGAGCCTGAAGTAAAAACAGTAAAAAATGTACCTTAATTAAGATTAGCAGCTTCAAACTTGAATCTTGAAGTTCGTGGCTAGCAGATGAAGCATCAAGTGACTTGAGCTGGCTTCATTTTGTTCTTTTGGTTGCAAATGATTTTTTTTTTTGGTAGAAAGGTTGCAAATGAATTTTAATGGAGGATTATTTCCTCTTTTATAAGTTAAGTAAATGATAGTGTGTAGTAAGGACCACAATATGATTGTGTCCCCACCAATCATAATTCAGAACTTAGAAATACAACAATAACTGAGAAAAATTTAAAAAATAATTTATTTCTCATGCGCTTTCATGCTTCCTATGTGTGCCTTCAAGATTGATCTGGTTTGAGGTTGTGAGAAAAGATTTGATGGCTCATTCTTTAATAGCAGGTGTGGCCCTGGATCAAGCTGAACGGAGCCACAATACCCATATGTGTGGGATAAGACAAATGGCGATGATTATATCTAAGTTTCATCAGGTGTTCTGTCTTCAAATTTTTAGGACCCCTTGGCTATCTGTTGACTCCGCATAGTTATAGAATAAATATTGCTATTCATATCAACAGCAGCCCACATAATATCCCCATGGTTGATTATTAGATTTTTTTTGGGTGGGAAATCATTGCCAACAAGTGTTTCTTGTGTTGATTGGGTCATGACTGATGAACACATGTCAGTTATTTTGTGATAGTTAACAGTGTAATACTTTATTTATTTACAAAAAGAATAAGTGATTTGTACTAATACATGTTATGCCAAGCATCCCATGGTTTAGTTTAGGCTTGCCAGCTACCTAACCCATCAAGATCCCTTTTCTTTGATTACATGGAACAATCAGCTTCCCTATGAATACGAATAACCTCCCCCCCTCCAATACATCTGATCCCTGTTGACTCCCTATCTTGTCAATGCATCTGCAATTTCGTTTGCTGACCTTTGTGTCCTCATGAAAGTGGTTTTCAGCTCCCTTGCTAGATGTGTTATTTATCTCAAAGTGTGCCTATACATCCACAATTGTGGATTATTATGCTTGATCCACTTCCACTCAATAACTACCTTTGAGACCCCTTCTATCAAAACACTGTAGTTGAGTGTGTTTCCTAATCTTAATCCTTGGAGTACTGCATGTAGCTCATTGTTTCTGATAAAAAAGAACTATATGTAGTTCAGCCTTGATTAAGTTACCTTGGCCAATAGATTCAAATATTTTACCAAAATTGCCCTTCATGGTTCCTAAAAACTTACTCAGTGCTTGAAGGCTGAATCTCCTGAATTGCCCAGGTGACATCCCACAAAGTTCAGTTTAACAAGGTGTGTGCATGGTGGAAACCAAGTAATAGAGACTGTGTTTATAGCAGAAGATGATGAAGCAATATATTGCTACCTCCTTGTGATATCTTCCATCGAAAAAGGATTAAATATAAGCATCAATTTAACTTAATGAGCCACTTTCATGGTGATATTCTTGATCAACGCTTCTTTTGCATAGGTCTCTTCATTAATGATTCTTGTGTTCCTTTCTTCCATACTGACCAAAGGATGATAGCCTTTGTACATGCAAATAATGTCTTCCCTCTTCTTTTAGGTATGGAGAAGAAGGATTCCTCAAAAATATGTGATGTCCTTTGGAGGTTTCTACCTACATCCAAAAAGAGCAAAGGCTAGGAGACTATTACTAGTCTCACCACTTGCCATACACTGGCATCCCAACAATTGGTTGCCAAACCATGAATACTTTTTATTATCATATGTCACAACTTATCTGAATCAAATTGGAATCTCCCTAACCATTTAGCCAAAAGTGAGGGATTCTTGTGCACCAGTTCCCCCAGTCCTAATCCCCCCCCTCCCCATCTTGTTTCCTTTTCTCACAGTTTTCCAGTTTATAAGATGAGGTTTTTTGGTCTCCCCCAGTTCCCACAAGAGGTCTCTCATAATTCTTTCCAATCTTTTTGCTATTGTTATTGGGGTTTTGAAAACAGAAAGGAATTAGACCTGATGCATCTCCTTTAATCATGTTAGACTAATGAGGGCTTTCAGTAACATGGCTGGATTCTCTTGGAGATGCTTCTATTTGTGTTATATTTGAGCTCATAGTAGGATGAGAAGTAATTGGATTTCTAAGGCTCAATGCTGTTTGGCTGAGTGGTGGTAGAATCAGAACCTCTAATTAGGTTTTGCTTTGTGAAGTTTTCTATGTACTTGGTATATGCCCTTATTGATTAACATACACTGATTGTAACCCCCTCCTGAATGAAAAGGATACTTTCTATTGAATTGACATCTAATATGATTACTTTCACATTTTCTATTGAGGTATTGATATCTTTGTACATATTCTTTTTAGGTTTATTTCTGAATGCCATTAAGTTCTGTGGTTTGTTTTCCTAAGAAAACATCATTTTTAATCTGTATTTATCATGGTAATAATGCAGAGGGAATATTTCAAGCAGGGAAAAATTGATCAGTTCCGACAAATTTTGGAGGAAGGATCTAGTCCCGGTACATCTGTTTATTGACTGATATATGCATGTTTCCAAAATGCGATAATGCTATCAGTTGTTGATTGACATCATCTAACATTCATTCATCATGCCATAATGCCGGTTTTACTTGTGAAATTTTCCTTGTTGCAGAAATTGATGATTACTATGCTGATGTGAGATATGAAAGGATTGCCATCCTAAATGCTTTAGGGGCCTATTATAGTTACCTTGGGAAGATTGAGACAAAACAAAGAGAGAAGGAGGAACATTTTATTTTAGCAACCCAGTATTATAACAAAGCATCAAGAATTGACATGCATGAGCCTTCTACTTGGGTTGGGAAAGGTTAGTATCATTTGTTTTTTGTATGCTAATCTTTATTTGAAATATGCTTCTTTGGGATGGCAACAGTGATTTTTTTAACATTCATAATGAGAGTGAAAAATGCTATCTTGGCAGCTTGAAAAGCATATTTATGAATGATGTGTTTGAATGATATTGAAGTTAAGTGGTACTTTTGCAATAAAGTTGTAACTTCTGTAATTTATACCTTGCAAATAGGTGAAGCAGTGCATTATAATTTGTAATTTACCCATTTATCCCCAGAATCACCCTCAAAGTGTGCTCTTGATTTAAACCACATCATTATTCTGTTTCCTTTTATAAAGAGATGAGCTCAAAAAAAAAAAAACCTAGAAGAGGTCAGCACAATAACTATACAAGAGTGCACTGACCAGAAACCTCCCATGGCAATACCTTACATGCCCATCTAATTGCAGTTGCAGTTCAGAATTTTGCAACTTTCCAAATTTGCTCCTGTCTTTCTAATATTCCATTCTTTTGGTCACTTGTGTTGTAATACTTGAAATGCCTATTTTGGGAGCTCATCTCAACTCCTCTGGTTTTGTCCGTAAACAATTTTTATGTAGTTCAACTCTTTTGGAAAAATAAACAACTAATTTGACAGTGCCAAGTTGGAGTATCCAAATTGGATGTTCAACTCCTCTGGCACAGTTCTCTTTTCCCCCTTCTATTCTCTGTATATTTGGTTTATCCAATTTACCAGTGTATTTTTTATCTCTTCTTAAAATTCTTTCTTCAATGGCAAATTCAATTGAGAAGATGTAGAGAGAGTTCCTATGGGGTAAAGGACTTGAAAGGAAGTACCATCTAGTGAAATGGGATTGGGTTTGTAGGGATAAGGAGGGAGGTTTGAGAATTAGAAGGATGAAGTTAAGGCATTGCTGGGGAAGTGGTTATAGAGATTTAGGTTGGAAAGGGACGCTTTGTGGAGGAAAGTAGTGGCTTGTAAATATGGGGTAGTGGGGTTTGGTTGGGAGTTGGGACACTAAGGAGGTTAAGTCTTCTTATGGAGTTTGTGTGTGGAAAGGAATAACGAGTTTTTAATCAGCCTTTCTTGATTTTGTTTCCTATAAGGTTGGGAATGGTTTAACCATACCATAACATTTTGAGAAGATGATTAAATTTTGTGATTTATGCCCATGTTTGTGTAGGTTAAGCAAGAAAAATACCTCTATTGCAGAAATCTTTAATAATTCAAGGAAGGGTGGTGGTGTGTCCAAGGTTTAGAAGATCCCTTTTGGATTGGGAGCTTGGGGAATGTGTGGAATTGCTACAAAAATTACAATCGGTTGATCTGTAGGTGGACAAGAGGGATAAGAGATGGTAAAAGGAATCCAATAATGGAAAATTCTCTGTTAAGTCTTTCTACAAAGCCCTTTTAAGGAATCAAGTAGAGAGATTGGAGGTGAAAGGAGTTTGGGGATATCCTATTCCACCTTGGGTGGAAGCTTTTGCTTGGATTGTAGCTTTGGATAGTTTGGGGATATCCTATGTTTTGGCTGTCTCTTTTTGAAATTTATATGGGGATTTTTCTTTGGACTCTTCAAAACTAATATGGTTGAACCAAGGAGCTGCATACCCTTTGTCATTTTTTGGGAAGTATGGAAAGAAAGAAATATAAGGATCTTTGAAGACATGGCTCGAGAAAGAGACCAGATTGCTCTGTGGTGGACTAGATACTTGTTCTCCCAAATTTTGAAGGAGTCTCAAAGGAAGATTGGTGCTAATTTTTGGTCTTTTCTTGGGTTGGAGTCAAGTAACTAGTTATACTGTTTTCTTTATCCTTTTGGATGTATCCTCTTTTTTGTTTTTTATCTAAGGTGACTGTGGTGATCCCTTATCACTCGTAGTGACGCACTGATGTACTTTTCTTTTTTATTAATAAAATTCTTTTTTATTTGTTACCAAAAAATTGACTATATATTTGGGTTTTGTTTATTTTTGGGATAAAATCACATTATATTAATAAAAAAATGGTAGAGGGAAGATGCTATCCACAAAGGCACAAACTGCATAGTTACAACAATACACTTATTTTTTATGAGTAACATGATTGAAGAGAGTTTATTAATAGGAATAGAAATATACATGGGAAAGTGCACTCCCTACATCTGAAAATTTAGAAGGGAACCATGGTAGCAACCACTGACAAACAGATATTATATAGTTAAGAACATGCCTTTATTAAGGTATGATACTTGACTACCCATTGGAAAGCAATTCACAGTATCCTTCCCCAATTTCTTAACTTTGTCAGGTATGATACTTTGCTCAAGGAAAAGGTCATTGTTTCTTGGACCCCACCATCTGACAGTTGGGTAAAGTTGAATTTTGATGGAAGCAATCAAGGAAGCCCCTGATCCCTTAGGCATAGGAGGAGTCTTGAGAGATAAGGATGGCAACATCTTAGCTTTATACTCTGGTCCAGTGGGAGTAGGAGACTCAGTCAAGGCTGAACTATTGGTGGCTTTACCGGGTATTCAGATAGCAAACCATTTAGGAGTTGAGCATCTTCTAATTGAAGGAGATTCTAAGATTGTGGTGGGCTGGTTAACAGATCTGGGATAGTCATTTGGTGCTACAAGGATTTTCTAAAAAAGGGAAGCTGGTTAACAAATAACATGTCTGTTAGCTCACGTTGGGGGTGAGCAGGTCAGCAAATGCTTTGGCTGATTATCTTGCTAAACAAGGGGTATTGAGGGAACATCTATACTGGGCAACATTGTAATGCCTTTACTTGAATAAGATAAAAGAATAAAAGATGTGTTCTGATGTAATTCAGGAAGAAAGAAAGAAAAGTCAACTAGGCTTCGAAGAGAAGAAGAAGAAGAAGAGAGAGAAGAGAGAAGAGAAAAAAGAAGAAAGGGGTTCGGTTAGATTAGATCTGCCGCCCCACTAAATATTATAATATATATATATATATCATGTCCTTACAAAAGGAGTTGCTCTAATACCCCTACTTAAAACAAAAGACAAATAAACAAAAAATAAACAAGGCCCAACCGGCCCAACTACCAAGACTGTAACAAAGGAAATAAATAATAAAATAAAGTGTGGGGCTGGAACCACACACACACTAATGAGCTACTAACTATCTCTACACCTTTGATTTATTTATTTATTTATTTTTACTTTTGTACACTTTAATCTCAAGTAAGGTCGCACCTTGTGCCTCTCCTTGAGGTGCTTGTAATTTTTCTGATATATCATTAATAAATCATTTCTCAATTATAAAAAATGCCTTTATTAAAGTTTCCTTTTATTTGCTATTCAAAAATTACATGTTTATGACTTGTTATACATCATCTTAGATCCAGTGTTTTATAAGTGCAAGGCGCAGGGCCATTTTGCGCCCTAGGCGCACCAGGCATGCGCCTTTTGAAAGGGCTGCGCCTAAGACCTAGGCGAGGCGCATACCCTAAAATGTGCCTTGCCTGTTCACCTAGGCGTGCCTTTTAAATCACTGCTTAGATCCATGGAAAAGTAGAGGGGATTATGTATTTTTTTTTTCTAACGACATTCTCCACTGGTTAGTGATAGTTCTTAAAGATGTCTCGACTCCTTAGATGAAACGTCTATTTCCCAAGCAGGAATAAGATCTGATAGGTTGTAAGGCATATTGACTCCTTAGAGAAATAATGCTGCACTTAAAGGGAAGTTGCAGTTTATGAAGAGATGGAATATTGATTCCTTAGTTCCTAGGGAGGAGAGCATCTATTAGACTGAACATCTTCCTTAATACTTTAGGTTTAAATTTTACACTTGTTGTCTTTTCCTCTTTTATTCTTAGATTGTCTTTTTCCCCTCCAATGGAGCATCGAATTGGAAAGATGTTCTGGGTATGCATTTTTTCTCAGCAAGTATCTTTTGTTGATTATTAGTTTTTTCTGTCTATATTAATGTGACTATGTTCATCCATTTTTATTGAACACTTTGAATGTTTGTAGGTATATATCTTTATTGATTGATTTTATAAAAAAAGCTGAAACAATGCAGCCCCGGATACAAAACAGCACCGAGTCTGGTATAGCCAATAAAACTTGGTGCTGGGCCTATGCCAAGGGAAATATAAAGAGATCAGAAAAGGAACCCCTCTAAGCTATATGGTCCTTATGCAAAGGAATGCGGATTTACATTAGAAAATTCTTTCAAAATGATGCCCAATGGCAAATTCGTTTTTATCTCATACCTCTTCCAAAAAGTGAGCTACTGTTCTTCAACTGAGGGCATGTTCCTTTCCTCTTAACTCTTACCTCTTAAGAGAATCTTACAACTTTAAGAGGAAAATGGTTGTTCGTTTCCTCTTATCTCTCATCTCTTGAAGAGGAATCTTACACTTTTTTGTTTTCCAATGATAACCCTAAAACTAAAACACAACACTTCTCCTTATAACTCAAGGACCTCACATGCAATAATAATAATAATTAATTAATAATAATAATAATAATTATTATTGTAATTACAAGTTAATTAATAACTAATTAATAATTATTTAATACTTATTAAATATTAAATAATTATTAATTAGTAGTTGTTAATTAATTAATAATAATGAATTAATAATTATTATAATCATTATTATTAAATATTAATTAATCATTAATCATTATAAAAATGTTAATATTATTTCTTTTATTGAATTACAAAATACTATTAGTTAATTAATAATTAATTATTCATTAATATTAATTAATTACAATTAATTGTTAGTTAATAAGAATTATTATAATTAATTATTAACAATTAATAATTAATTAGTACTAATTATTAAGCTTTATTTTTATTTAATTATTATAATAATTAGTATTAGTAATAAATAAATTATTAATTTATAATAATTATTAAAATTAATAGCTAATAATAATTATTAATTATTAATTTTCAATTGACTATTATAATAATTAGTATTAGTTATAAATTAAATTTTAATTAAATGTTAATTGTTAATTGTTAATTAATTATTAACTATTATATTATTATTA